GGCGACGACATCGCCAAATGTTCGTACAATCTGACCGGCGCCACGCCGCATCTCACCAATTGTTGCTCCATCAACTCCATCGGATCTCTGAAACGAGTCGAACAGCGAACGTAAATATTACCTCGAAACTCTTTCGATTCGATCGTTCGCGATCAGAAAATACACCGTGTGAACGCGATCGTCGTGCCTTCGAGAAGATCGTAGCGATTAACCGATCGACGTTATCGACATCGAGCTCGCGTCCCGAGAAGAATGAATCGACGAAATTTCGCGCGAATAAAAAGATCGAAAAGATAGAGGAGAACCGGGCTGACGGTCGCGCGCGATTAAGACGACGTCTTTCTCATCGACGCGACGTCGCTCGATTCGCGACTCAATCGCGTCGTATTAGACGCGAGCTTAATTAGGGTTAATTACGAGCGATTGTACGGTCGGTCGTCGCTCATTGGCAGGACGCTAACGAGCGGATTATTGGTCGATCGCGAATCAAACGCGTCGCGTCACCTTGGTGGCGTTCGCGTGATATTCGCTATAATTAATGATCGGTATCGTTGCGAAGTCGCGGTGGCCGCGTTGCACCGTCATTTCCTACTTTCGTAATTACCAGGCGGGCGAGGGAGTGCTACGTAAACACGGCGCGATTATCGGCCAGACTATCTCGACGATTAAGACTTGGTCGCGATCGCGAACGACGTTCTCGGGTTTTGGCTCCAGTTACGGGTTTCTTTCTTTTCCTTCCGCGGCGTACGAAAAGAGAAGCTTCTCCGTTGTCTCGAGGACAAATCCCACCCGCGTTGACCTACGCGAGAAAACGATCTCGATGGGCGAGCGCAGTTCGGTAGGCTCCGGGAACGTCAAGTGGTCGAAAGAAAACCTGATACCGGCTGCTCGTCGGATAATTCTACCCCGTGATACTCCCTTCTATCGATCATCCGATTCCTCGAAAGTCCGACGAACCTCCGGAGATTCTCTTTCACGCTCGCTATTCTTCGTTCCTCGGAATCGTTCGAGATGCTCGATTTCGCGACGAAAGCTCTCGCGAGAGGACGTTGAAAAAGAAAAACCAGTCGACTAGCAACGAGACGAACGAGAAGGCGAGGCCGAGACGAGGAACGAAAGAGAGGAACAATGGGTGTTATCGTAGTCTCGGTTACCACTCGACTACACCGCTTAACGCGTAACGCGACACCGACGAACGCCAGGGAGAACTAGACGAGAAGCGTTTTATGCGAGTCGAGCGGAAACGTGAATTCTGGACCACCGTGACCGCGCGAAGAACAAAGAACGAACACGGAAACGCGGCACGCACCCTCGTTAACGCGCGACACGAACGAACGAACGAACGACGGTGTACCGGCTGGTTCGGGGGATATCGACGTTACGCGATTTCCGTTTCGACGAGCGTATCTCGATCCTGGAACGCTCCGGGAACAGAACGAGAGAGAAGAAAGAAGGAAGAACGCGCGAAAGGGCGAACAGGCCGAAGAAACGAGTCCCGGTTGAAAAAGGCGAGGGATTAGGGAGGGGGCCCGGGGCTAATCGCCGTCCGCTCGAACGTGCCGGACCACACACCGCCGCGTCTGCGGCCATTCCTCTTCTCGTTCTTTTGAAATATCGCTGTCAAACGGCCAAATTCTATTAGTCGTCGAGTACCGTCGTCGATTTCGCTCGATATCGATTACATCGAGGATTTCGCGGCGACGAACGGAAAAGGAGCGCGGGAATTCATTTTGTTCCGAGACTCGTGGATCGCCGAGCGAGAACTCTCCGAGGTCCTACTCCGAGGACTCGGTAGCGGAGTCGGACGATATTTGCGAGACGATTATGGAGCCGTCGAGAGACGAAAGTCGATGAACGCGGCAGAGAGGCCCGAAACGTTTGAAACCGTTGTCTTCCCGGCCGCGAGAGCGAACCTGCAGGATCGGTCGAGCAAAGAAACCTTTAAACCTTACCGCTCGGAACGAAAGAAATAAAACGTCGAGCAAGAAAAGAAGAGAAGAGAAGAGAAGCGTAGCGCGTGCTCGTTACACTCGGCGTTACACCTGTGTGTAGTACGCAAAACGGAAATGACGCGGCACGACGGAGTCCGACTCTGTACGCGTTAACTCTGCGCGCAGCTCGCGACGCCCCGTAGCTTGGCCGTCCTTGAATTACGATCCTTAATGTTTTCATAAAGCTTCCTTATGTACAGACAATAAAATCCCTAATTACGGTCGTTTGCCAGTACGAGAGAACGGCCCGAGGCGGTCGCCTATTACTATTCCTGCTATGCCAACTCCTCTAATCGTTCCACCGACCAATAAATATCGCTCGTCGATCCGACGAGTCCGCGTTTTCCGCCTAATAGCACGGTTACGCTCGAAACGTTCTAATTACCGATCACCGCTGTTACCCATTAAAATATTAAAGCGTCCACGACGCGCGCGGCTACGCCTTTCGATCGTAGAACACGATCGGCGAACAACATTTCCGCGCGAATTCTTCTTCCACGTTCGCGATTTTCCACGAGGCTCTCGAACGTCCGCTGATTTCCTCTGTTCTTCGGGACGGCCTGGCGGAACACTCGGTCGCTAGCGATCTCGAAAGGCGAATTCTCACGCGAGCCTTCTCGCGAGACGGAACACGCATGCTATCGTAGAGGCTACGTTCCATTCCCGGCCGATCGAATCGTACGCGATCGAGAAAGAGGGGAAAACGAGAATCGACGGAGGAAAGTTTTTCCACGGTAGACGAGAAACGCTTTCGTGAGATGCGACGAAGCGGAGAGCAACGATATTAGCGAACAGAGGGGACTCCATTGACCGGGGGAGCCTGTTATTCTCCGCCTACCCCGAGGCTGACACAGGGCATTAGGTAAGTGGTAGATAATAATAGGTTACACCCCACTGATGGCCGAAGGTAGTCGATCGAGCGACGCGGCTTCGTTCGACTCGTACCGATCGCTCTCTTTCTCCGTCTGTTCGCTTCGACCGAACGAAACGCGAACGAATCGGCTTTCGATAGAAATTTTAGGCTCGGAAAAGCTTGAGAGAAAGAAACGGGAGCGGGAGAACGAGTCGAAGAGAATGGACAGGGGGAGAAAAAGAGGAAGGGTAAATGAGAAACGAGCGAGCGAGCGATCGCACTGAAATACGGGTAAGAAGAAGATTCGAAAGAAGTCGAAGCGAAAGGAAGGACGGGGGGCATCGACGCGAACAAGGAAAGAAAGAAAGGGAGAAAGGCGCAGAGAAAGAGCGAGCGTAACAGTGAAGAAATTAATAGCCATAAAATATGAATAGAAATTAGCAGGTTCGGGGTGGCGTGACGCGTTTGCTCGCTCATTTCCTTTCGGCGCGTTGAAAAACAACAAAACAACGCAAAATACGGTCGAGCCTGTAATTTACCCGGCTGCCGCCGAGCCGTCCGACGCGCGATCGAGCCGCGCTCTCTCTCTCCTTCTCTCGGCGCGTTTGCGCGCGCGTGTGTGCCCGCCTTTTCGACGTGTGTGCGTGGACAAGGATCGTGCGTGGAAGCCGCGTACGATGCACGGCGAGTAGCTCGCGCGAGTGTGAGTGCTCGCTTCGAGTCCCTCGCCGATCGCTTTGGAGCGAGCGCACCGCTGCGAGGTACCGACCAGTCGGTGCTCGCAACTCGGCCCCATCATCGTCGTCGCACGGTAGGTATGGAAGGTAATGATCCGGTAATGACCCTGACGCGTCGGATACCCGGCCGATACGCGTACGGACGTTTCGTCTCCCCGCGCGACGCGTCCGCTGACTTTTCTTCTCGCGGCTTTAAACGTTAGCTGCCAGACGCTTTCGTCCGGCCTCTCCGCTCCGGAATCGTCGTCGATCGGCTCGGATCGGGCATCCGGTAGTTCGGTAACGCGCTCGACTAATGGAGCACGACGAAAGAGGAGCGTTCGGGTATCGGTTAGAGTCGTCCAAGTTACCTGTGTGCCGGTGGACGCGAAACGGTGGATACGAGGGCAGAGTATCTTCCTCGCTCGAGGACGCTCCGGGACGCGAACGGCAGAGAGAGAGAAGAGGAAGGCCGAGAGTTTGCGAGGAAAAAAAGAGGAGGAAGAAGGCCGGAGCGGCAGCGGTAATGACAGGCCGTCCGCTCTCGAAGCTAATATAGATGAATGCCCTGCCCTCCTTGCCCTCCGGAACCAGCGAAGAGAAGAGAACCTGGAATCGCTCTCTTTCCATTCTCTCCCTCACCGCTCCTCTTCGCCGCTCGCTTCTTCCACGTTACCCGGTTCTCGTCTTTTTTCGCTTTTGTTCGTCGCGTCGCGTCGTCGAGCCTCGACGTTTTCGCGAGAAATCGTCGCGCGATTCCGTATCGTTCGAGCTCCCGACCGGATAGATTCGAGATGTCCTCCTTCGTGATCGGGCCGACAAAGAGCCGTACCACTCGGCAGCCGAGCGTTCGTGGTCGAGCGTTTTTCGCGAGCCTCCGTACTCGGTGTCGAGGCAATTTCGAGTTTCTCGCGGCAGCTGGCCGTAAATTTGGACCTGCGAGGCAAGGTCAGGCGGGCAAGGCAGAGCGAGAGACGAGGCGAAATAAGGCAAGGAGAACGGAGCCGAGGAGAGGAGAGGAGAGACGAGGCTCGACG